CCCCAGCTGACCAGCCCCAGAGGTGGGGGCTGAGGGGTAGAGGGGGATATATGCCCCCCCCGGACCCCAGGGAGGGAGGGGGAAGGGGGCAGACATTCGACAGCTACACAGTTATTAGTCGCAGGGGGCTGAGTGCCCCCGCTCATGTCCGCTCATGTCCGCTCATGTCCGCTCATTCCCGCTCATGTCCGCTCATGCCCGCTCATGTCCGCTCATGCCCGCTCATGTCCGCTCATGCCCGCTCATGTCCGCTCATGCCCGCTCATGTCCGCTCATGTCCGCTCATGTCCGCTCATGTCCGCTCATGTCCGCTCATGCCCGCTCATGTCCGCTCATGCCCGCTCATGCCCGCTCATGCCCGCTCATGTCCGCTCATGTCCGCTCATGCCCGCTCATGTCCGCTCATGCCCGCTCATGTCCGCTCATGCCCGCTCATGCCCGCTCATGCCCGCTCATGTCCGCTCATGTCCGTTCATGCCCGCTCATGCCCGCTCATGCCCGCTCATGTCCGCTCATGCCCGCTCATGCCCGCTCATGCCCGCTTATGTCCGCTCAGGCCTGCTCATGCCCGCTCAGGCCTGCTTATGCCCGCTCATGTCCGCTCAGGCCCGCTCATGCCCGCTCATGTCCGCTCATGTCCGCTCATGCCCGCTCATGCCCGCTCATGTCCGCTCAGGCCTGCTTATGCCCGCTCATGTCCACTCAGGCCCGCTCATGCCCGCTCATGCCCGCTCATGCCCGCTCATGTCCGCTCATGTCCGCTCATGCCCGCTCATGCCCGCTCAGGCCCGCTCATGTCCGCTCATGCCCGCTCATGCCCGCTCATGCCCGCTTATGTCCGCTCAGGCCTGCTCATGCCCGCTCAGGCCTGCTTATGCCCGCTCATGTCCGCTCAGGCCCGCTCATGCCCGCTCATGTCCGCTCATGTCCGCTCATGTCCGCTCATGCCCGCTCATGTCCGCTCATGCCCGCTCATGTCCGCTCATGCCCGCTCATGCCCGCTCATGTCCGCTCAGGCCCGCTCATGCCCGCTCATGTCCGCTCAGGCCCGCTCAGGCCCGCTCATGCCCGCTCAGGCCCGCTCATGCCCGCTCATGTCCGCTCAGGCCAACGGGAACCTTTGATATCTGGAAGTGATGAATATTAATGGTGTTTAATAATAACCTGGTGTGTGGTAGTCACTCAAAAGTTGTCCCAGGCGGGCGGCCCGCATTCTTGGCCCGCTGGTCCAGGCGGCCCGCATTCTTGGCCGCTGGTCCAGGTGGGCCGCATTCTTGGCCCGCTGGTCCAGGTGGCCCGCATTCTTGGCCCGCTGGTCCAGGTGAGGGGCCCTCGAGGCTTGTGGTCCCCTGGCGAGGGTCCCTTGAGGCTTGTGGTCCCCTGGCGAGGAGGGCCCGTGAGGCTTGTGGTCCCCTGGCGAGGAGGGCCCGTGAGGCTTGTGGTCCCCTGGCGAGGAGGGCCCGTGAGGCTTGTGGTCCCCTGGCGAGGAGGGCCCGTGAGGCTTGTGGTCCCTGGCGAGGAGGGCCCGTGAGGCTTGTGGTCCCCTGGCGAGGAGGGCCCGTGAGGCTTGTGGTCCCCTGGCGAGGAGGGCCCGTGAGGCTTGTGGTCCCCGGGCGAGGAGGGCCGTGAGGCTTGTGGTCCCCTGGCGAGGAGGGCCCGTGAGGCTTGTGGTCCCCTGGCGAGGAGGGCCCGTGAGGCTTGTGGTCCCCTGGCGAGGAGGGCCCGTGAGGCTTGTGGTCCCCTGGCGAGGAGGGCCCGTGAGGCTTGTGGTCCCCTGGCGAGGAGGGCCCGTGAGGCTTGTGGTCCCCTGGCGAGGAGGGCCCGTGAGGCTTGTGGTCCCCTGGCGAGGAGGGCCCATGAGGCTTGTGGTCCCTTGGCGAGGAGGGTTCCTTGTGGGACATATCTGGCTCGTCTGTTGTGTCACATATCTGGCTCGTCTGGTGTGTCACATATCTGGCTCGTCTGGTGTGTCACATATCTGGCTCGTCTGTTGTGTCACATATCTGGCTCGTCTGGTGTGTCACATATCTGGCTCGTCTGGTGTGTCACATATCTGGCTCGTCTGTTGTGTCACATATCTGGCTCGTCTGGTGTGTTACATATCTGGCTCGTCTGTTGTGTCACATATCTGGCTCGTCTGGTGTGTCACATATCTGGTTCGTCTGTTATGTCACATATCTGGCTCGTCTGTTGTGTCACATATCTGGCTCGTCTGTTGTGTCACATATCTGGCTCGTCTGTTGTGTCACATATCTGGCTCGTCTGTTGTGTCACATATCTGGCTCGTCTGTTGTGTCACATATCTGGCTCGTCTGGTGTGTCACATATCTGGCTCGTCTGGTGTGTCACATATCTGGCTCGTCTGGTGTGTCATATGAGGCTCCTCGCTGGAAGGAGAACCGGTGTGGGAGTTTTACTGAGGCCTCTGTTGTAACACCACCCAATTGTAACACCGCCACTAAAATGCACCACTATAATGTACCACTACTTATCCTGAGTAACACTTCCTCATCGGTTGCACTTGATAACACTGTTATGAGCTGACATATGATGGTTACACCGGAACCAAAGGTACACTGCCAATAAGGAAATGCTAACACAAGGATTAAATACGCTGCCACCATCTGCCTTTGACCATTGAAACTATATCAAGCAACGAGGCAAGAAACATTGCTTGACTAGGAGAGTACTTTCTATGACTGTCATTAATTTTGAAAACGGTTGTCAGCCACTATATCCAAAAGGCTAAGAGGATTCAACAATTGACACAGACGGGAAATTTAACGAGTTTATTGAGACCAAAATTATGTCAATCACCACTTATAAATCCTACTCTAACACTGGCAAAAAGTTAAGAAATTTGGACATGGAACAAAACCTCAGAGATCACACACATTACCTTAAGACCTCTGTCTCTCCCTGGCTGAGATGTTCTTCACAGACCCGCTCTCGATCCCGGTGTACCGCACTGTCTTTTTAAGTCCCTACAGGACCTCTATATACAACCCCCACAGGGGGAGGGGGAGATCTGCTGTTGCTACCCACCAAGAGTGTACAAACACTCAAGAAATATTTCAAAAAGCTTGTTTGACATTCACCATACACTCTTCAAGAGAGGAGTTATTAATTACATGTGTGACTGACCTCTGACCTGGCCAAAAGGGGGGGATCCAGGGATGTTTACACATAAGAATCTGGAGTCTAATTCCCTTGCCTGAAATATTACATACTTGAAACTATGCTGACTAAGACTAACCCAGGAATTTTTAATCAATATACAAGATAAACCGGAGGTCATCTGGGCTGACCTCTTGGAGAAGGCTTCCCTGGGTGTGAACTCTTTAGGGGGGGGGGGAGGTCTCGGGTGTTACACTGTACTCGAGTAGCTATATGGTGGGAAGTGAAGAATCTCCGTTTGCTTTTAGCTTTGTGATTATGGCGGCCTTAGAAGTGGAGGTGTGGAAGTGGAGAATATTCCACCCGAGATAGCAACATCCCCAGATAACAGCATGCCGAGATAGCGGCATCCCCCAGGTAGCTGCATCCCCAGATAGCAGCATGCCGTGATAGCAGCATCCCCAGATAGCAGCATACCGACATGGCGGCATCCCCAGATAGCAACATGCCGTGATAGCAGCATCCCCAGATAGCAGCATGCCGTGATAGCAGCATCCCCAGATAGCAGCATGCCGAGATAGCAGCATGCCGTGATAGCAGCATCCCCAGATAGCAGCATGCCGTGATAGCAGCATCCCCAGATAGCAGCATGCCGTGATAGCAGCATCCCCAGATAGCAGCATGCCGTGATAGCAGCATCCCCAGATAGCAGCATGCCGTGATAGCAGCATCCCCAGATAGCAGCATGCCGTGATAGCAGCATCCCCAGATAGCAGCATGCCGTGATAGCAGCATCCCCAGATAGCAGCATGCCGTGATAGCAGCATCCCCAGATAGCAGCATGCCGTGATAGCAGCATCCCCAGATAGCAGCATGCCGTGATAGCAGCATCCCCAGATAGCAGCATGCCGTGATAGCAGCATCCCCAGATAGCAGCATGCCGTGATAGCAGCATCCCCAGATAGCAGCATGCCGTGATAGCAGCATCCCCAGATAGCAGCATGCCGTGATAGCAGCATCCCCAGATAGCAGCATGCCGTGATAGCAGCATCCCCAGATAGCAGCATGCCGTGATAGCAGCATCCCCAGATAGCAGCATGCCGTGATAGCAGCATCCCCAGATAGCAGCATGCCGTGATAGCAGCATCCCCAGATAGCAGCATCCCCAGATAGCAGCATCCCCAGATAGCAGCATGCCGTGATAGCAGCATCCCAGACGTGATATCTCTTGTCTTGAAGGTTCTGGATATCCATCCAGTCCTTAAGTGGTTCTTTAGCTTCACACATTCTGGCCTTATTTTTAGAAGTTCTATGGCTTGGTTACGGATTTCTATGGCTTGGTTAAGCCATTATATGACTTGGTTAGGCCTTTCTATGGCTTGGTTAGGTCTTTCAGTGACTCGTTAGGCCTTTCTATGGCTTAGTTAGGGACATTCTATGGCTTGGTTACTCCTTTGTATGGCTTGGTTAGGCCATTCTATGGCTTAGTTACTCTTTTCTATGGCTTCGTTACTCCTTTCTATGGCGTGGTTAGGCCTTTCTATGGCTTGGTTACTCTTTTCTATGGCTTGGTTAGGCCTTTCTATGGCTTGGTTAGGCCTTTCTATGGTTTGGTTAGGCCTTTCTATGGCTTGGTTACTCTTTTCTATGGCTATGTCTGACTAGGATATGTGTATTGTGTTCTGTACATGGTTAAGGTTTTCCATCAGCGATGCTGCCTTCCCTACAGTGTTGTGGGGTCGCTGAGGTGGCTGATCATCGCTGCCTTCCTCAGTGTTGTGGGGTCGCTGAGGTGGCTGATCATCGCTGCCTTCCCTACAGTGTTGTGGGGTCGCTGAGGTGGCTGATTATCGCTGCCTTCCCTACACAGTGTTGTGGGGTCGCTGAGGTGGCTGATCCTCGCTGCCTTCCCTACAGTGTTGTGGGGTCGCTGAGGTGGTTGATCATCGCTGCCTTCCCTACACAGTGTTGTGGGGTCGCTGAGGTGGCTGATCATCGCTGCCTTCCCTACACAGTGTTGTGGGGTCGCTGAGGTGGTTGATCATCGCTGCCTTCCCTACACAGTGTTGTGGGGTCACTGAGGTGGCTGATCATCGCTGCCTTCCCTACACAGTGTTGTGGGGTCACTGAGGTGGTTGATCATCGCTGCCTTCCCTACACAGTGTTGTGGGGTCACTGAGGTGGCTGATCATCGCTGCCTTCCCTACACAGTGTTGTGGGGTCACTGAGGTGGCTGATCATCGCTGCCTTCCCTACACAGTGTTGTGGGGCCGCTGAGGTGGCTGATCATCGCTGCCTTCCGTACACAGTGTTGTGGGGTCGCTGAGGTGGCTGATCATCGCTGCCTTCCCTACAGTGTTGTGGGGTCACTGAGGTGGCTGATCATCGCTGCCTTCCTCAGTGTTGTGGGGTCGCTGAGGTGGTTGATCATCGCTGCCTTCCCTACACAGTGTTGTGGGGTCGCTGAGGTGGTTGATCCTCGCTGCCTTCCCTACACAGTGTTGTGGGGTCGCTGAGGTGGCTGATCATCGCTGCCTTCCCTACACAGTGTTGTGGGGTCGCTGAGGTGGCTGATCCTCGCTGCCTTCCCTACACAGTGTTGTGGGGTCACTGAGGTGGCTGATCATCGCTGCCTTCCCTACACAGTGTTGTGGGGTCGCTGAGGTGGCTGATCCTCGCTGCCTTCCCTACAGTGTTGTGGGGTCACTGAGGTGGCTGATCATCGCTGCCTTCCCTACACAGTGTTGTGGGGTCGCTGAGGTGGCTGATCCTCGCTGCCTTCCCTACAGTGTTGTGGGGTCACTGAGGTGGCTGATCATCGCTGCCTTCCCTACACAGTGTTGTGGGGTCGCTGAGGTGGCTGATCCTCGCTGCCTTCCCTACAGTGTTGTGGGGTCACTGAGGTGGCTGATCATCGCTGCCTTCCCTACACAGTGTTGTGGGGTCGCTGAGGTGGCTGATCCTCGCTGCCTTCCCTACAGTGTTGTGGGGTCACTGAGGTGGCTGATCATCGCTGCCTTCCCTACACAGTGTTGTGGGGTCGCTGAGGTGGCTGATCCTCGCTGCCTTCCCTACAGTGTTGTGGGGTCACTGAAGTGGCTGATCATCGCTGCCTTCCCTACACAGTGTTGTGGGGTCGCTGAGGTGGCTGATCCTCGCTGCCTTCCCTACAGTGTTGTGGGGTCACTGAGGTGGCTGATCACCGCTGCCTTCCCTACACAGTGTTGTGGGGTCGCTGAGGTGGCTGATCATCGCTGCCTTCCCTACAGTGTTGTGGGGTCACTGAGGTGGCTGATCACCGCTGCCTTCCCTACACAGTGTTGTGGGGTCGCTGAGGTGGCTGATCATCGCTGCCTTCCCTACACAGTGTTGTGGGGTCGCTGAGGTGGCTGATCATCGCTGCCTTCCCTACACAGTGTTGTGGGGTCGCTGAGGTGGCTGATCATCGCTGCCTTCCCTACACAGTGTTGTGGGGTCGCTGAGGTGGTTGATCCTCGCTGCCTTCCCTACACAGTGTTGTGGGGTCGCTGAGGTGGTTGATCCTCGCTGCCTTCGTCAGTGTTGTGGTGGTCAGTGTGGGGGACCTGATTACTTCTTCTTTATACATCAGGTCCCTAGTCTCAGTCTTGCCTCAAGTGTCTGCTGGTTCTGTGCAATCTCGCCATAGTTCTCTTACTTCCTTGATAACACTAGCACGGAGTTTCTCTAGGTTATCTAGTGCCCTACTGGGAGGATAACACTAGCATGGAGGTTCTCTAGGTTATCTAGTGCCCTACTGGGAGGATAACACTAGCATGGAGGATCTCTAGGTTATCTAGTGCCCTACTGGGAGGATAACACTAGCATGGAGGTTCTCTAGGTTATCTAGTGCCCTACTGGGAGGATAACACTAGCACGGAGGTTCTCTAGGTTATCTAGTGCCCTACTGGGAGGATAACACTAGCACGGAGGTTCTCTAGGTTATCTAGTGCCCTACTGGGAGGATAACACTAGCACGGAGGTTCTCTAGGTTATCTAGTGCCCTACTGGGAGGATAACACTAGCATGGAGGTTCTCTAGTGCCCTACTGGGAGGATAACACTAGCACGGAGGATCTCTAGGTTATCTAGTGCCCTACTGGGAGGATAACACTAGCATGGAGGTTCTCTAGGTTATCTAGTGCCCTACTGGGAGGATAACACTAGCACGGAGGATCTCTAGGTTATCTAGTGCCCTACTGGGAGGATAACACTAGCACGGAGGTTCTCTAGGTTATCTAGTGCCCTACTGGGAGGATAACACTAGCACGGAGGTTCTCTAGGTTATCTAGTGCCCTACTGGGATATGATCACAGGGATGTCCCGCCCTCTATAGGATGTGAGATTTAGCTCCACAAGGTGCGGATTCCATGCCTGTGCTGCTGACTCCAGTATAACCTAGCACATGTTGGTTACATCACTTTGAAGATGTCGGGATTTAGGTTTCTAAACGACGATTATATTTGCCTCTGGTGTTAGTGTGAAAATCTTGTCCACTCGCAAATCTTGTCCACTCGCAAATGTTGTCCACTCGCAAATCTAGTCCACTCGCAAATCTAGTCCACTCGCAAATGTTGTCCACTCGCAAATGTTGTCCACTCGCAAATCTTGTCCACTCGCAAATCTTGTCCACTCGCAAATCTAGTCCACTCGCAAATCTAGTCCACTCGCAAATCTAGTCCACTCGCAAATCTAGTCCACTCGCAAATGTTGTCCACTCGCAAATCTTGTCCACTCGCAAATCTTGTCCACTCGCAAATGTTGTCCACTCGCAAATCTAGTCCACTCGCAAATCTAGTCCACTCGCAAATGTTGTCCACTCGCAAATCTAGTCCACTCGCAAATCTAGTCCACTCGCAAATCTTGTCCACTCGCAAATCTTGTCCACTCGCAAATCTTGTCCACTCGCAAATCTTGTCCACTCGCAAATCTAGTCCACTCGCAAATCTTGTCCACTCGCAAATCTAGTCCACTCGCAAATCTAGTCCACTCGCAAATCTAGTCCACTCGCAAATCTAGTCCACTCGCAAATCTTGTCCACTCGCAAATCTAGTCCACTCGCAAATCTAGTCCACTCGCAAATCTAGTCCACTCGCAAATCTTGTCCACTCGCAAATCTAGTCCACTCGCAAATCTTGTCCACTCGCAAATCTAGTCCACTCGCAAATCTAGTCCACTCGCAAATCTTGTCCACTCGCAAATCTTGTCCACTCGCAAATCTAGTCCACTCGCAAATCTTGTCCACTCGCAAATCTAGTCCACTCGCAAATCTAGTCCACTCGCAAATCTTGTCCACTCGCAAATCTTGTCCACTCGCAAATCTAGTCCACTCGCAAATCTAGTCCACTCGCAAATCTTGTCCACTCGCAAATCTTGTCCACTCGCAAATCTTGTCCACTCGCAAATCTAGTCCACTCGCAAATCTTGTCCACTCGCAAATCTTGTCCACTCGCAAATCTAGCCCACTCGCAAATCTAGTCCACTCGCAAATCTTGTCCACTCGCAAATCTAGTCCACTCGCAAATCTAGTCCACTCGCAAATCTAGTCCACTCGCAAATCTTGTCCACTCGCAAATCTAGTCCACTCGCAAATCTTGTCCACTCGCAAATCTAGTCCACTCGCAAATCTAGTCCACTCGCAAATCTTGTCCACTCGCAAATCTTGTCCACTCGCAAATCTAGTCCACTCGCAAATCTTGTCCACTCGCAAATCTTGTCCACTCGCAAATCTAGTCCACTCGCAAATCTTGTCCACTCGCAAATCTTGTCCACTCGCAAATCTAGCCCACTCGCAAATCTAGTCCACTCGCAAATCTTGTCCACTCGCAAATCTTGTCCACTCGCAAATCTAGCCCACTCGCAAATGTTGTTGTTTGTGAGCGGCGAGTAGTTGTGTTCCCTGGTAGTGTAGACTCGTCTGCCTTCCCATCTTCATCACCTTACATGTGCTCAGAATTATTCGGAAACGTTTGTGAGTTCAGAAAACAGATTAAGAAACCGTGGGACTGAGAGACACAGGTAGAGACAGAAAGAGACAGAGAGACGGACAGAAAGACCGGCGATTCATGATGGTGTTGCGGTGTTGAGAATGATGCTGTCTACTACCGGGTCAGGGATATAACGAGTATATCACCTACATAACGGAAGTATATGATTGGTTTTTGTCTACTGTTGAACCCCGATGGTTCTGCATGTAAACATTTGTAAATATCTCTCCTGGCATCTGTTCTCTCCAGCCATTACTGTAATGGTACTACTACCTGCTCAGGGAGTTACCATAAAAGTGACCAATACCACCTCGACCAGACACTCGACCAGACAATCGACCATACATTCGACCAGACACTCGACCAATCCCCTTGGCCAGACCCTCAAACAAACCCTCGACCAGACACTCGACCAGAGCCTCGACCAGACACTTGACCAATCCCCTCGACCAGACCCTCAAACAAGCCTTCGACCAAACCCGACCATTTGTAAATAGTCCCTGCGACCAGTCCCCTCGACCAGACCTGATCAGTTCCTTCAACCAGACCTGATCAGTCCCTTCGACCAGTTCCCTCGACCAGACTTGGCCAGTCCCCTCGACCAGACCCGATCAGTCCCCCTCGACCAAGACCCGGCCAGACCCCTCGACCAGACCCGACCAGACCCGACCTGTCCCCTCGACAAGACCCTCGACCAGTCCCCCGACCAGTCCCCTCGACCAGACCCGACCAGTCCCCTCGACCAGATTCTTGAACAGACTCGACCAGTCCCCTCGACCAGACCCAGACCAGTCCCCTCGACCAGACTCGACCAGACCCAACCAGCCCCCTCGACCAGACCCTCGACCAGACTCGATCAGTCCCCTCGCCCAGACCCGACCAGCCCTCTCGACCAGACCCGACCAGTCCCCTCGACCAGACCCTCGAACAGACCCAACCAGTCCCCTCGACCTGACCCTCGACCAGATCCCCGACCAGTCCCCTCGACCAGATCCCCGACCAATCCCCTTGACCAGACTCCTCGACCAGTCCCCGCGACCTGACCCTCGACTAGTCCCCGCGAAAAGTCCCCTAGACCAGATCCAGGACCAGTCCCCTCGACCAAATCCCTGACCAATCCCCTTGACCAGACTCCTCGACCAAACTCGACCAGTCCCAGCGACCTGACCCTCGACTAGTCCCCGCGACCAGTCCCCTCGACCAGACCTGATCAGACCCCTCGACCAAACCCCTCGACCAGACCCGACCAGTCCCCTCGACTAGTCCCATCGACCAGACCTGATCAGTCCTTTCGACCAGACCCTCGACCAGAGTGAGTGTCGAAACATATAATTGGTTGTGACTTAAGGTCAACACTCTTCCATTCTTTAAACATTAAATAAGAGCTTAGCTTCAAGCACTGAGGTCAATACTTGGGATCCTTAAGACATAACAATCAACATTCCTACATGTTTGGGGTCAGCCAAGCGGCAGAAGCAAGAGTATTAGGGCTGCCCACCCTTTTACCTGATAGATGTGACGCGCTCTGAGCCACACTCTACCTGGTACTCCGCCTGATACAGCTTACAATGTGTACTGGGACGCAGGAGCCGGATGATCGCCCAGCAGACTCTCAGCACTTGATGGGGGGGGGGGGGAATCTCCTAGGATAAGAAAATTGTGTCCAAATACGTTAGCAGAGTCCAAAAATGTGGCGTGCCTGGGGGTGGGTAGGCGTGCCCAGGGGTGGGTAGGTTCGTCCAGGGGGTTGGTAGGCGTGTCCAGGTGTGGATAGGCGTTCCCAACCAGTCCTCTCGACCAGACCCGACCAGTCCCCTCGACCAGACCCGACCAGTCTCGACCAGACCCGACCAGTCCCCTCGACATGTTCCCTAGACCAGACCTGATCAGTCCCTTCAACCAGTCGCGACCAGTCCCCTCGATCAAACCCCGACCTGTCCCCTCGACCAAACCCGACCAATCCCCCCAACCAGTCCCCTCGACATATCCCCTCGACCAGACCTGATCAGTCCCCCCGACCAGTCCCTTCGACATATCCCCTCGACCAGACCTGATCAGTCCCCCTGACTAGACCTGACCAGTCCCCTCGACCAGACCCGATTGGTCCCCCCTCGATCAAGACTCGACCAGTCCCCCTGACTAGACCTGACCAGTCCCCTCGACCAGACCGATCAGTCCCCTCGATCAAGACTCGACCAGTCCCCCCGACTAGACCTGACCAGGCCCCTCGACCAGACACTCGACCATTCCTCCGACCAGTCCCCTCGACGAGACCCAACCAATCCCCTCGACCATACCCGATCAGTCCCCTCGATCAGTCCCGAACCGTCCCATCGACCAGACCCGACCAGTCCCCTCGACCAGACCCGACCATTCCCCTCGACATGACACTCGACCATATCCGACCAGTTCCCTCGACCAGACCCGACCCGTCCCCCCGACCAGTCCCATCGACCAAACCTGATCAGTCCTCTCGACCAAACCTGATCAGTCCTCTCGACCAGTCCCCTCAACCAGACCCTCGAACAGACCTGTCCAGTCTCCCCGACCAGTCCCATCGAAGGGATTTGATCAGTCCTCTCGACCAGTCCCCCTCGACTAGACCTTCGACCAGACCCTCGAACAGACCCGACCAGTTCCCTCGATCAAACCCGACCAGTCCCATCGACCAGACCTGATCAGTCCTCTCGACCAGTCCAAACCATGCAGTACCCTCGAACTGTCCCCTCGACCAGACCCCTCGACCAGAGTGAGAGCGACGAAACATATAATTGGTTGTGACTTAAGGTCATCACTTCTCCCATCCTTTAAACATTAAACAAGAGCTTAGCTTCCAGCACTGAGGTCAATACTTGGGATTTTCAGACATAACCATCAACATGTTGATGGTTATGCTTGTTTGGGGTCAGCCAAGCGGCAGAAGCAAGAGTATTAGGGCTGCCCACCCTTTTACCTGATAGATGTGACGCTCTGAGCCACACTCTACCTGATACAGCTTACAGTGTGTACTGGGACGCAGGAGCCGGATGGTTGCCCAGCAGACTCTCAGCACTTGAGGGGGGAAACTCCTAGGATAAGAAAATTGTCTCCAAATACGCTAGGAGAGTCCAAAAGTGTGACGTGCCCGGGGGTGGGTAGGGGTGCCCAGGGGTGGGTAGGCGTGCCCGGGGTGGATAGGCGTGCCCTGGGGTTGGTAGGCGTGCCCGGGGGTGGGTAGGCGTGCTCTGGGGAGGGTAGGCGTGCCCAAGGGTGGGTAGGCACGCCCAGGGGGTGAGTTGGCGTGCCCAAGTGTGGATAGGTGTTCACTACCAGTCCCCTCGACCAGACCCTCGACCAGACCCGACTAGTCCCCTCGACCAGACCAGACAAGTCCACTCGATCAGTCTCGACCAGACCTGACCAGACCCAACCAGTCCCCTGGACCAGACCCTCGAACAGACCCACCAGTCCCCTCGACCAGACCCTTATACAGACCCGACCAGTCCCCTCGACCAGACCGTCGACCAGACCCTACCAGTTCCCTCGACCAGAACCTCAAACAGACTTGACCAGTCCCCTCTACCAGACCTCATCAGTCCCCTCGACCAGACCCGATCAATCCCCTCGATAAAATTCCGAACCGTTCCCCCGACCAGACCCGACCAGTCCCCCTCTACCAGACCCTCAACCAGTTCCCCTCCACCAGACCCGACCAATCCCCTCGACCAGACCTAAACAGTACCCCTCGACCAATCCCGACCCGTCCCCTCGACCAGACCCGACCAGTCCCCTCGACCTGACCCTTGACCAGATCCCCTCGACCAGTCCTCTCGACCAGACCCGACCAGTCTCCTCGACTAGTCCCATTGGCCAGACCAAGTCCCATCGACCAGACCTGATCAGTCCTCTCGACCAGTCACCTCGACCAGACCCGACCAGTCCCATCGACCAGACCTGATCAGTCATCTCGACCAGTCCCGACCCGTCACCTCGACCAGACCCGACCAGTCCCCTCAACTAGATCCTCGACATACGTGACTTAAGGTCATCACTTCTCCCATCCTTTAAACATTAAACAAGAGCTTAGCTTCAAGCACTGAGGTCAATACTTGGGATTTTCAGACATAACCATCAACATTCCTGCTTGTTTGGGGTCAGCCAAGCGGCAGAAGCAAGAGTATTAGGGCTGCCCACCCTTTTACCTGATAGATGTGACGCTCTGAGCCACACTCTACCTGATACCCCCCGCCTGATACAGCTTACAATGTGTACTGGGACGCAGGAGCCGGATGGTCGCCCAGCAGACTCTTAGCACTTGAGAGGGGGGGGGGGAACTCCTAGGATAAGAAAATTGTCTCCAAATACGTTAGCAGAGTCCAAAAATGTGGCGTGCCTGGGGGGTGGGTAGGCGTGCCCAAGTGTGGATAGGCGTTCTCGACCAGTCCCCTCGACCAGACCCTCGACCAGTCCCCTCGACCAGACCCGACCAATTCCCTTGACCAGACCCGACCAGTCCCCTTTAACTGACCCTCGACCAGATCCCCTCGACCTGATCCTCGACCAGTCTCCGCGATCAGTACCCTCGACCAGACCCCACCAATTCCCTCGACCAGTCCTATAGACCTGTTCAGTCCTCTCGACCAGTCCCTCGACCAGACCCTCGAACAGACCCAACCAGTCCCCTCGACTTGACCCTCAACCAGATCCTCGACCAGATTCCCGACCAATTTCCTCGACCAAACTCGACCTGACCCTAGACTATTCCCGGCGACCAGACCTGATCAGTTCCTTCGACCAGTCCCCTCAACCAGACCTGGCCAGATTCCCGACCAATTTCCTCGACCAAACTCGACCTGACCCTAGACTATTCCCGGCGACCAGACCTGATCAGTTCCTTCGACCAGTCCCCTCAACCAGACCTGGCCAGGTCTGACCTGGCCTCCCTCGACCAAACCCGATCAGTCCCCCTCCCTCGACCAAGATCCGGCCAGTCCCCTCGACCAGACATGTCCAATTCCCTCGACCAGATGCGATCAGTCCTCTCAATTAGTCCCCTCGACCAGTCCCTTCGACCAAACCCTTGAACAGACCTGACCAGTCCCCTCGACCTGACTCGACCAGATCCCCGACCAGTCCCCTCGACCAGACCCCTCGGCCAGACCCGACAAGACCCCTCGACCAGTCTCCGCGACCAGTCCCCTCGACCAGACCCTCGACCAGAGTGAGAGCGACGAAACATATAATTGGTTGTGACTTAAGGTCAACACTTCTCCCATCCTTTAAACATTAAACAAGAGCTTAGCTTCAAGCACTGAGGTCAATACTTGGGATTTTCAGACATAACCATCAACATTCCTGCTTGTTTGGGGTCAGCCAAGCGGCAGAAGCAAGAGTATTAGGGCTGCCCACCCTTTTACCTGATAGATGTGACGCTCTGAGCCACACTCTACCTGATACAGCTTACAGTGTGTACTGGGACGCAGGAGCCGGATGGTTGCCCAGCAGACTCTCAGCACTTGAGGGGGGAAACTCCTAGGATAAGAAAATTGTCTCCAAATACGTTAGCAGAGTCCAAAAGTGTGGCGTGCCCAGGGGTGGGTAGGGGTGCCCAGGGGTGGGTATGCGTGCCCAGGGTGGGTAGGCGTGCCCAGGGGTGGGTAGGCGTGCCCAGGTCGTGTCGTCTGGTCACTCACATTCCTCGCCTCACTGTTTAATATTCAATCAGGGAGACACAGAATAATGCTTATAGCTGCTGGTGCTGTGCTCTGTCTCCCAGGTGGTTGTGGGGCTCCCATGGTGCTGGGACCAGCTGGTCCCATCCACAGGTGGTGGTGGGGCTCCTATGGTGCTGGGACCAGCTGGTCCCATCCACAGGTGGTGGTGGGGCTCCCATGGTGCTGGGACCAGCTGACCCCATCCACAGGTGGTGGTGGGGCTGCCATGGTGCTGGGACCAGCTGGTCCCATCCACAGATGGTGGTGGGGCTCCCGTGGTGCTGGGATCAGCTGGTCCCATTCACAGATGGTGGTGGGGCTCCCATGGTGCTGGGACCAGCTGGTCCCAT